GAGGCGAAGAAGTCCCAATTTCTTCCACAGCCTGTACTCGAGAGTTGCCCAAACCCCAAGCCCCACACGCACGCACTGCTTGACAATTGTTTAGCAACGCCACGAGGTAGGCAACGGGGGCTCCTTTCACTTGGAAGCCAGAGAGAGAGAGAGAGAGAGAGAGAGAGAGACGCTCCAAGCAGGACAAACTACTTACTTTTCTGAGCTTTCATTTCGGTGCCCTTCCCGCCTTTTTGTGGGAGATCCCCCTCCTTTTATCGCCAGGAAGGGAGAAAGAAAGTTTGGAAAAGAAAGGGGGGGAGAAGGGAGGGGGAGAAAAGAGCGGAGGAGAAGAGAAGGCGGCTTCCAGCGGGGTCCTTTGCAAAGGCGGCGTCTGACGCTTGCGGGACGGCCGGGGCTGGCTGGTGCAGAAAGTAACTTGAGAGTGGCCCTCTCGCCGCTTCTTCCTTCTTTGTTCTTCAACTGGTGCTTGGCATAAGCTGCTGCTGCTGCCTACGCCACGAGGTGTGCCCTCCCCCACCTCTCGGCCCTGACTAAGCGGGAGAGGAGCCAGGACTGCCCCTCCCCTCCCCTCCGGCAGGCTGGCCGGCTGGGTAACGGCTTTGGGGCGGGGGGAGAGGGCAAGTCTGTCAAAATACCGGCGCTAAACCGAAAGAAGGGGGGAGAGCAGCTGTCCCCAAGACACACGGGCAAGGCGAGGGAAGCCTCGCTTCCTAAATTGTCCTTTTAAAGGCTATTTTAACAAAAACGGAAAAGTAGGCAAAGGGGAACTCGTGGGGGGGGGAGAGATAATTTGAATGCTTCAGGCCCCGGGAGCTCTGCCTTGAAGCGATGTAAACGCCGTTTATAAAGTTTACGTCAACAGCCCCGTTCCGCTTCGAGAATCTCCTCAGGCAGAGACAAACCCCCAAGTCTCTCGCTCCACAAGCCCGTCTTCGGCTTGGTCAGCGTGGAAGGCATCGATGCAGGTCTCTCCGCCACTTCTTGGATTGCTACAGTCAGGTTTCCATCCCAGGAGTCCTCGCAACGAGCCTGGCCCACCAGAGAGCCAAGTTTTCCCCCCTTCTTGGCCGTGCACGTAGCAAGCCAGGTGGCTCAACTCTTGTTCCTCTTCCGCTTCCTCTGAGATCGCTGAATACAGCGTTGCTGGCTTGAATAAACCCCTCAAACCCTTTGCGCGAATTTACTCTTTTTTTGGGGGGGGGGGATTCCTATTAAAAGAAAAACCCTACCACCATCCCCTTCTGAATCCTATATTCCAAATCTGTTTTAA